AGAAATGTCCTTATATAGCTTTCAATGAACATGCAAATATTTACATTTCATTTCATAGCACTGAGTTATTTCCACGTACAGTCTGGTGGCTCACTTTGCTTTTGTAGTAAGTATAAGTTCTGCTCCCAATTTCACCACTGAAGTCTTTTTGCAGTGTAAATGTCAGCATGAAACTGAGAACAGAATTCAACATATTTATTTCAGTATGCGTCTACCTACTGTTTTTAAATTTAATTCCTGCCCCCCTGCAATATTAATGCACCATTATTGTGCCCCTACCAGCAATCCCTTATGGAAAAGTTCTATAAAAATTTAGTAAGATTTATAGAAATTACTTGAATCAAATGGGAAATCACTCTTTTATAGGTTTGGATTATAATAGCCAATAGAATTTCACAGAGAATTGTACTCTTTCTACAGCCACGAGGACACTACAGAGTTCTGTATTAGTGATGCCATTTGCCTTTAAGTTCTGTTGGATCAACGGAAGAAAACCTGTAGGAAAGTGATTTTTATTCAATTCCATAATATATTTTTTTCCATGTGGGAAACTCGCTTGCATTCTATAGAGAGCGTATAAGAGATATTATATATCTGAAACACACACACTAAGGTAGAAAAATACTACTGTATAACCTACGGGCAGACAGTAGAGTAACATGGGGTAGGTGAGCAAGGCATGTGTCCTGGGCCCTGCTTAAGAGGAGGGATACCAGGACTCTGGGAGGCGGTGGAACAGCCTCAGTGGCTTGCCTCTAAGATGCTCGTTGCTGGCACAGGTGATGGGCATCGCAGAGTGCCAGGTATTCTGAGAACTGTGGTTTTGCAGAGAGCATGTCCTTGTAATTTGAGTGCAGTTTGCTGCAGCTGCTGGTGGGGCACTTGACCCCCATTTTTTTGCCAATTAATTCAGCATTTCTTTTGCCCTCTGGACATGGACTTCCGCAGCAAAAAATGGGGTGAAATCCCCACCCCCCACCCAGCAACAGCAAACTTTGTTGCTACTGTAGGGAACTACAGTTCCCAGAATGCCGTACACTGTTTGCTGCTGTTCCTGAATTTGCAAGTGAGAAGCTAGGCTGAGAGGAGGCAGGGGAAGGGTTAGAGACAGCTGCCCATGGTGCCTTTTTTCCCATGTTATACCTCTATGGGCAGACTCCATATCTGATGACACGAGGGGTAACGTTCCTGTAGACCTCAGACATGTAGGTCGTCTAGATGTTCATTCTGCAGTGAACTCCACTGCAAGGGACCTCTACTGAGAGGTCCTGCATGTGAAGGACTTCTACTGAGAGATCTGCTTGAAATTAGTAGATCTCTGTGTGACCACAGTAGGTGCTTTTTGCAGGATAAAGGCCAGAGGTTGAAAGCTCTTTGGCACTCGTGTTTCTGACTTCTGGGATTGATTCTGCGTGGACATATAGAGGATGGATACAAGAGCAAGCCTTTGTTTGCAAAAAGCTTTCTAAGATCTTATGGCACTAGGTAACTACCTAATAAAATGATGGTAACAAAATCTACATATGCATAAGATGGCCAAGTTGCAACTATTCTAGGCTTCATAAATTGGAAATTCCCATCTTGTGTGCATGTGAAATACCAGCTATACCATTATGTTAGAGTTCCCTTTATGCATATCTCTAGACTTTATCAGCACTAGAGCAGGGGCTCAGGGGGATGCACGATGTGTTCCTGAACCAAAAAGAAGTTGCATGACATTGGTACATTATGTATGTATGTGATAGTACTTAGTATGGAGAGATTATAAATGACAAGAAAAATATGAAAATCAAGCAAGTACTTGATGCAGACAAAATTAAATGCTAGCAAAGAGAGAACGCAAAGAAAATGTTCTTATTACCAGACACCTGACTTAGCTGAACGGATGGTACTGTCCTTATGGCCTTGGTCCCAAAATCTCACGCATTTTACAGATCACTTACATGGTTTTAATTTTGCTTCTGTAAATCCCTTTTCTTTAGCTGTTAGCTTGGTAGAATTACTTTCAGATTTATAGTGCAGTACTTGTTACATGTACATGTACATGTGCTGTTACATATAATATTTAGACCCATTGGTCATGATGGTTACCATCTTGATTGTTGTCTTGTGATATTACTTTTGAAGATTACAAGGCATAACAAATAAGCCTGCCATCTATCTAGCAGTCATTTTAAATATGTAAAGTACTGATCTTGTTAATCATGAAGGACTAAATTTGATCCCTGAAATCAACAGAGTATATGCCAAGAATGAATTTGGTCCATAGGGGTTTTATTTGCTGAGCAGAAGCACAGTGCTTACAAATATTTTATTTATGACATGAGTGGCACTAAATAACCATTATTAGTTTTATCAGAAATCCATATTGCGTGCTAAAACAGTTTTTTCTTTGTGCACATTTTAATACCTGACAATATTTTTGAGAGATGTTGTAATACATACACAACAATGACAATCTGCTAAGATTTGCCATCTGAATCTATGGAGCTTTTGCCTGAGTGAGTACGGCTTTTATTTTGGAATTTATTAGCATCCGTTATATATTTCAAGCATCACTGTAAATACAAAATGGAACATTTGAAAATGTCTCTGACCGTACTGAATTGCCTTCGCTCTTGGTGGGCCATGTTTTAAGGAAAACCTATAAAAAAAAACTTTCAAGTCCAACAGTTTCAGCAGGTGGCAATATGGCTGCTAATCTTACGCTGCATTTCAAAGCCCACGAAATGCCTATCCAAATATGTAAAAGCAACTTGATGGAATGCTTAATTATTTGCAGATTCAAAATGGTAAATGTATTCCTATGGGACATCTTTCCACTGAATGGAATAAGAGGATGAGAGAGGACATTTAGCTGTACTGGACATGTACATTAACTGAATGTTTCAGGTCTAGGGGTTAGCAGTGACATGGCAGCAATGTTGGCCTACTTGGGTTTTAAGGTTAACACTTGGCTTACATAAGTGGGAGAAAATTGCAAGTTCTCTAATGTCAGGCACTAGCAAAGGATTAAAAGAGACATCAGTGTATTGGCTTGCATTTTGGGTCTAATTCTGACATCACTTATGCTCGGGTAACTTCAGTATTTATATTGATGTGCGTAAGCTTTGAACTTATTTGTCAAAAATGAATTCAAATCAAACCCAAATCTGAGAACCTGTGGCGCTGGGCAGAGTTTGGAGCCGAGCTCAATCGATCAGTGTTGGGCAAAACTTTAAAGATTGGCTCCTACTGCAGGAGAACTTTGGGAAAGTTTTTGTATCCAGTGCTTCAGCTACTGAAAAGCACAGCCAGGGTTATGGAAACCCGTAGCTCCTTGTGGATTTTTTCATACCCATCTCTTTCTTTTGTCCCCATGTTTAAGCCTGTTACTAACCTTGGAGTTATTTCTGACCAATGCTATTACTTGTAAGCAACCAAAGGGATTACTTGGACAAAATGCAAGCAAAAAAGTGATGTTAGTACAGTCCCTCCGTGAAGCAACATTTGCCAGTTATACTGAGCCTGATTCTTCTCTCACCAACTCTATTGAAGTCTGTGAAGTTAGAGCTACATTTAAAAAAACTGTAGGGGGAGAAAGAATCAGTTACCTTGTAATTTGAGTGCTTGAGTGCTTGCTGAGCTGTACTAGTGTTCTCCTTTTCTCTCTTCATGTGCTGTGGCTTCTTTCTGCCAGGACTGTATATGTAGAATTACTCTAAAAATATGGCAGGACTGGACCCATAAGCCTGGAACCCTCTGCCCATCACATAGTGCAATTTCTCTAATTGGCATGGTGTAGAAATAACAAACCCTGAATGTGTACAAGGCTTGGACGACATGACCCTTCCAATCTTATGTTTCCAGCTTGATGCTGAACAATACTATGGCAATATCCTGTCTGACCATGGCCAAACTAAGTGCAAGGTATATAAACAGCACATAAAAGCATAAAAGGTACATAAGAGGTTCTTCTTTTTGTCTCTGTGTCTGGGAATTGTAGATGTGAAAGCTAGCAGCAAGGCTGAAAAAGCTAGCAGCAACTACAAAAAGCCCCCAAATATGCAAGGAACAATAGACTTCTCAGTCTTTTTCTTTAATGGTTCCTCCATTAGCTCAATAACATAGTTTGTTCTAAATCAGTAGCTATTACCATAAACTCAGGGTCTGAATTATGTGACAAGTAAAAGATATGGACTACTCTG